CTTCTTCCCTTTCTGGGGATTTTTGGTGTCTGGTATGGTACCCTATCTTCACTCTGAGATTTGTAAAAGAAAGGGCTTTCCTGTTTTTCTTAGCTTTCAACTAAAGAGAGCATGAAGCATTAAATACTGTAAGCAATTAATGAAATTAAAGAGAGAGTACAGCATTAAATACAACAAACCATGAGTGAAAGCTCCCCTGTGCATTCAGAAAGTTGAGGAATTTATTGAAGAAGTTGCAAGATCTGCCATGTTTTTGCATTTATTGAAGCTTGAAAAAGGAAAAAGAAAAAAGACCAAACAAAAACATGGGTTTTCTTAGTTGAAGAAGGAGGAGGGAAAAGAACCAACCTTTAAATCGAGGCATTGTTCCCAATGGTAAGGAAGAGAGACATGGGAGTTGAGCTCTAAAGTGGCGTCATTGCTGTAATTGGGAAGCAGTTGATTCTGGTGCGCAATATCATCTGAGGTTGATGAGGATGAAGACGATGACCTTCCCTGCCGCGTAACGCTTGAGCTTTGCCCTTCACCGCCTGTGAAGATGCAGCTGCTGCTCTGATGCTGTTGCTGGTGGTGATGAGGGTGGTTCAAGGAGCAGTTTTGGAGAGACCTCTCCAGAGAAGCAGCAATCGTCGCCATGTTTGGAGCTGTCATTGACTCTCAACAACACGGAAAACCCCAGAATATGATTGCAAAAATCAGCTTCAACAATCAAAACAAAATCGGTCACAACAGAGAGACTCAGAGAGAGAGAGAGAGAGAGAGAGAGATTAAAAGGTGGGATTTTGGAAGGGCAAATATAACAAGGGAAGGGACTTCAAAACTTTGGGTACAGTCACACAAACAGGCAGAGGCAGGCAGGGCAGGGTAGAATGATTGGAGCTCACGCCCTCTAAATGCGTGTGGGGATCTTAGAGCGCATGCCGGGTGGGACCACTATGCACTTTGTCTCACATGATCGCTTCCTCTTGCTGAGGATCACAGGCCTCACGGAGGCGCGTGGAATAAACAATATTCCCCAACTACAGAAAAAGTTAGTAAAATAAAGCTGATGGAATAATCTTTGGAGGCTTCAAATTAAAAAGCTAAAAAAAGACCCAGTAAATTCGCAATTACCGAAACTGAATGCCGAAACTTTCTTTAACAAATAATTAACAGTTTCTTATCAACGATGGTTGGTTTAGTTGGTAAAGTTTCTATACTGTGTGTAGCTTTATCAGTGTTTAAATCCAGTTGCCGGCAATAAGTCCTTCCGGCTAGAAATTATGAGTATGCTTTGGAGTTGGTGGTAAAAGTAACCAATCTCGTCCGAAATTTTTTTATTAAAAAAAAAACAATTAACAGTTTCTTTTCTTTTCGGGAACTTGGTCGATTTTTTCAATAAAATAAAAATGAAGTTGGTGGGGTTTTGAAATGGCGAGACGAGTGGCTTGGCAGACGTGTCTAACCACGCGCGGACTCTCATAAATGCAAAATCCACACAACAGAATTGAGATTTTTTTTAATACTTAGAAACTACGATAAAAAATTAGGGGGATTTATTATTATACCCAATATAGGGGTTCAAATTATAAAAATATCATATATGAAATGAATTTTAGAAATACACCCAAATCTCATTTACAACATAACAAACAGACTTTTAACTTCTTATGAATTATAAAACTACCATTAATTTCTTAAAACAAGCCCAATCTCAAAATCTCATTAAAAAAACCCAAAACACTCAATAGGGCATCAAAGTAATTTAATAATCAAAATTAAATTAAATAGAGCCAGCTGTTATTTTTTGGGTTTGTTTATAGAAATTAAATGGTGCAGTGTTTATTTATATTTTTGGTGCTAAAAATGGGTATATTCGTAAATATCTCACAATAATTATTGTGGGTGTGGCAATATTTTTATTTATTATGTAGTCATAAATATCAATAGTCTTCATATGAGGCAGTGAATCAAATTAGGCAGTTGAAACCCATGTAGAGTCTATTGATATATATCCTAGCTGTCCTAGAGCTATTTGGCCGGTTTGGCTAGACATGAAGTTTTATGAATTTAAAGTCAAACCACATCAACATTAATTATCGCTAAGCTCTAGCTTGTTCATGAATTTAAAAGGAAAAATCTTTTGATGGATCAAGTTCATGATCCTTTTTTCAACGTAATCACCTATGGAGACACTATTATACCATGTGGTAATTAATCATGGACAAGTTAAATATCGATCATGATTGGACCTCAAATATTAGTTGAGAATTTAAAGTCAAATTACCTCTAAATCACCAAATCTTATTCACACTTTTCAGCCTTGATCCTTTTAAACGTGCGCCAATTAAGTGCTCATTTTTTTATAAACTCGCAGTTTAATTTATAATCCTAACACCTAAACCCTCTTTTTACTCAAAGTCAAACGTGTGTTGAATGTTTGATCATTCATAACTTATAATAATAAGGTTTTAAAAAAATCCACTTGCCTCGAGATTTTTTATTTTTAGCTAAAGTTAGAAAGGAAAGGATGGAAACTCACACACACGGGTACTATGGAGACTTGAATCTAGAACAACTTGAAAACACACCAAAAACGCTAATCCAACTAACACCGTATTAGAATCATGCTATTCACAATTGCATATTTAGTATTTACCATATAGTACCGCTAGCATGTTACATTAAATGATTAAACCAATGTGGCTTGAAAAGGGTCCATTATAATATTGGTTCCCACCACCCCGAGCTAGATAGATAGCATGTTGATTTTAAAACATAAACTAATTCAGAATCAAATATCAACATTCACCATTAAAAGCTCTCGTTTGTGTACAGTACAGTTAGACTTTTGGAGCCCAAGATGGATTTGAATAAAAATAAGGTTTCGATTCTTTGAAGAAAGAGAGAATGTTTACAGTTGATTATTTTAAATCAAGTAAATAAACTATTACGAAATTAATAGTGGAGGCAAACAAAAGGACGAGCTAGCATATAAGTAAGAGATGAAAGGACAGAGCGAATGTATTGGGGGAGCTGCCTGTTTCTGTATGCATGCATGTATATATCATGTATGTATGGGAAGGAAGGTAGAAATATTATTGGTGCGGAATATATAAATTAAGCAAAATGGGGTTTGTGTTAGTTTTTTATTGTGATGAAGTTCACGAGATGGGTGATGGCTGGGGGCCGTGGGGAATATTGGGAGGGAGCTAGCTAGGGTCTGAGCTTGCTCTGGTGGGAGGTTTGAGACCCAATATCACTCGGATTTTTCCTGTTTGTGGAATCTATTCTCCTACTTTTACCAGTCTTACTCCTGACACCAACTCAGCAACTCAGAAACTCTATCTCTCTCTCTCTCTCTCTCTGCATTAATATTCCCTCTGCTGCGATGACCAGCGGGGAGAGTCCTTGGGATGTTCCACTGCTTTTGTATTTGTATGCAAATTTGGAAATCCATCTCACGGATTTCAAATTCTTGCTAATTAATTATCTAATTTAATTTCAAATTTCTCTAAGCAAGAAGAAGATGTCCCACTTTTCATGACCAAAGGCATGCCGCTTTCTTTTCATTAAACAGAAGAAAAAATATCGTATACCCTAACAAGCCAAACTCCAAGCTCAGAATTGGAAAGAAGCTAAGCAATATTGTTATTAAAGTATTATTTTCAAACACTCATCGGTACTGTGAGTCAATTGCCATACTGCATGTGTACTTATGGTCAAACATGGCTGGTTTGTTGCTTTTCTTTCACAAATATTAGTGTAGTGACCCTGTATTTTTTTTATTATTTTTGGGTTCTATTCAAAACATATGCATTACCCCATGGGCCTTTGTTCAGCTTTAACTTAGTGCTATGGCAGGTCATGGAATCATGGCATCAGTCAAGATGTACAAGACACACACTCTCTCTCTCTCTCTCTCTGAAACATCACATTAGGGTTGAAATCTAGATTAGCAACATGGAAGGAAGATTATATAAAAAGTATGAAATATTGGGTATGTTTGAGCGTGATTTCCAATTCATTCCCTGCACATGTAGCGATGAGTTATGTGAGTTGAGGGGGCCAAGGGAAGGGAACATCCGCTAGTGGTCTTAGACGTGCTCCTCCCTCCCTCCCTCCTTCCCTCCCTCGCTCCTGCTGCTGGGTGGGGGTGCGCACGCAGTTTATTTATATTGTCGATTGTGTTCATTGGAAGGGAAGCTCCATATAAAGCTTCTTGCACGGCACCTACACTACATTGCTCTTCTCTCTATAAATTAATATGCTTTTTTTTACATCCATCTCACATTTGTGTTGTTGGATCCAAATCATACGATGAGAGCAATGGGTTGAAATTTGAATGAGGGTAATTAGTACAGAAAATAAGACAAGCCAAGAGATATTTAAGCTGCTAACTTGTGTCGGTCGCCCAACTTGAGCAATTGCACTAATGCCAAGGGAATTTGGTTTTATTTGCTCACGAAGAAAGAAAGTTAAAAATAAATGTACCTGAAAAAAAAGGATGAACAGAGGGTTTTGAAGGCTTTGGATGACCAATATCAATACGGCAACGAGTGTTAAGTAGTGGGACTCCTGGTGTGGATGGGATGGGATTGGTTAAGCCATCCCATTTCACATGTCCTTGTTGCCTGCAAAATTTTCTTTGTGTTTGGTCGTTTCAATAGGGTACAATGCATTAAGTGTTTAAAAACAATCACTTGATGGAAATCTATCATAGTTTAGTACTCCTGGATAAATCAAAAGGAAAGAAATTAAAGTTAATTGACAATTACAAACAATTACATCTCTTAATTCATGCCGCTGACCGTAAACTAACAAGTTAGGTTCATATAAAAGTCCAGTCCAGGGTTGAGAAACTGGAAGCCCAACATTGAAATTGGTGCAACGCTTTTGGGTTTGGGCCTGCCCTTCCAACAACAACAAAAAACAAAAACAAAAACAAAACAAAAAACAATTATATAAAAAATTAATACGTGTAGCAGTAATAGCACGAGAGAGGAAATTCGATGGAAGTTAAGAGGTGACGGAGAATCTAAGTAAGAACTTGGAACTTTCATGGTTTCTAGAAATATAAAAGTCAATAATCCCATAGAGCCCGAGGGACATTCTAGTCATTATAAAAAAAGAAGAACAAAATTTCCATCTGCGCTCAAAAACCCCTTCTTGCTTCTTCTCTTGTGAAATCAGCCAATTTCTGTTTCAATTTGATTCACCAGACCCCTCACAACACAAAGATCACAAGATTTGATCGATCCCCACTCACAAACAAAACAGAGAGAGATGTCGAAGGTGGACGAGCCGGTGATGGGCGTTCCGTTCTACGTTGTACAGAATCCTTACCAAGCAGGCGCGATCCCCCCAAACGCCGTCTATGGCGACCCGAAGGGTATCCCTATCCACCAAACCATTTACAGAGACACTCCCGCTCCCTTCAACTGCGTTCACTGTGGTAATTCCGGACTTACCCACGTCAGGTAAATTCCGGGATTTCTTTTGGCGCAGGAGATTTTGGTGTTTGTTCATGTTATTGTTGATGGTTGAAAATTGGTTTTGATCGTTGATGGTGTTTGATGTTTGAATCCCAGATCAAAGCCAAGCCTGGCAGCTGTTGTGGCTTGCATGATGCCTATGTTTCTTGGATGCTGCTTTCTTTTGCCTTCATGCGACTGTCTCTGGCATAAATATCATCATTGCCCAAGTTGCCAAGAGAAGGTAAACTAACCACTCTCTCGATTCAGAGCCTATCTTACTCTGTATACTTTGATCACTTTGATTTTTGGTTAGAAATTCATCATGGGTTTTGTTTTGTTTTCTAGGTTGGTGATTTTGAGAAGTCAGATCCTTGTATTGTTGCGGATCCTCCACACTGGACAGAACACAGCTTTGCACTGCCTGCATGATCTGTAGTTTCACTTTGTGTATGCGACTTCTTCTCTACTTCTGTCATTGAACCCCATATTTACATATTTTGTGATCATGTATTCTTAAGACGCTGTATAAATCTACTACTTCCCCCTTGGCATCTATATGGAGTTTGGAAAAATGGTGGCTTGGCTGCGTAATAATACAGATTGATAGTAATTTTGTAATATGTGCAACTTTTTTCATCAAATGCTTTTGTCAATTTCAATGTGCATGCGATTGTATTTGCAATTTCAAATTCTTGCGCCTGAGATGTTGTTACACCTATACTTTTTGTGAGCTGTTTCATCAGGAGGAGCCATACTAGGTTGATCAATAAGGTACCAAAATGTAGTCATTAAGTTCCTAATCAAAAGCTTGGAAACACTTTTCCAGTGTGGTGCTTCTTTACTGCAAAACCAGGCCTCTGAGGTCTAGTTCACAGCAGGGTCATGTAGCTCTTGTTCAACCTTGACACTGCTCATTTTTTGAACTCCATCTGAACTTGCTCAAACCGTGTCTCCAGATTGGTAGTGGTTTGATCAGGAATAACAGAGTTGTTTGAAATTGGCTTCCATGGAAAAGCAATGTTGTTGGGGTAAAGATTACAGATATCAAGCAAATCCAGTGACTGTCATTTTTGAGCAAGACAATGCTTCTTAGAACTTGCTTTGCATATGCCAACTCTCTTTAGGAACTTGAGACCGCTATCAGTGAATTTCGCATCTGGTGTCTACGAACTTCTCCATTGTTTTTGTAAATTGCAAATCCCCTGACGAAGGGATTTGCGCTTGCAGTTTAGGTGCGTAAAATGACCAAACCAAATGTTTGTATATGAGCGCTATGGCTCTATATATCTCAAATCTCGAATTGATGATGTCAGGTGCGAAAACAGAACCAAAATACAGAAATAAATGATGTGAAGGTTGCAACGACGCAATTACTAAAACAAATTGGGAATTCTTTATAAATCGTCACTAAACGGCTCAGTTTGATACTGAGAGATTTTTTTTATTTCTTACAAGAGTTGAAGTTAGAATACATTTTTTTAGTATGAGCGATTGGGGAAGGGGGTTTACACAAATATTTATTAGGTGCCTGGTGTTTTCAAATCTCTGCTCACATAGGTGGAGGTGAAAGAGCTCAACAATCTTAGCTATACCATAATGACGAAGTTAGAATACATTTAAGTTAGAATTTGCAGCTGCGCTAATTGGGCCAAGTCACATTATTTGCTCAACTGAAGAGTTTTATGTTTTCATGACGGGAGTGATTAGCCCCATAGACCCGACAAACAAAAAAGGGACGATTGTGAATGCCTTTAGCAGGTGCTAGTAGTGCCAGTATATTTGGTCACATATTGTACATGAGAATACAATGAGGCGGTCTTAATAGCCGTCCGATCAAGTGCAGAATCATTATTGTACTGCTGAATTCAACCTCCTCATTGTAACCCTCAACATAGCCCCTTATTATAAAAGCTCGTCATATTGTAGGCTTCCTATTTGAGCTCACCCCCTTGTAGTGAGAGTGCAGTCATCTTTCAGACCAAGTGTTTCGATCCATCAGAAACAACCACATGACTATCTTGACTTGGATTAACAGTATGACCATTTCGAACTTGATTGAATAATACAAATAACAGAACAATGATCAGAATCATCAGTTCCCGCTACATTATTAATCTTCAATAAATCAACCGCCCTCCAAACAACAACTTTCGTCACAGTTAAATAAATTTGGTTTCAGATTCGCATTGTCAGCAAAAACATTAAGAAATGAAATGAAATGAAACACGTACCTCATCTATGAGTTCCTCAAGAAACTCAATACATCCTGGTGGAAATCTGTTGCCCCATGGAAGAAGAGGTCCAGCATGAGATAAAAGAACCTGTCTCGGTAGCCAAGGAGACTGCCTGTAGACCACACAAGGATTCTAAACCAAGCTTAGCTATAGCGCCACATTATATTTTGAGAGAGAGAGAGAGAGAGCCCTTGGGAGGCTGCAGGCAAGTCATCCTTGGCTACAAAACAAGGCTCTTTATCCTCATGTAGGACCTTTCTTCCCTCGTCGTCATCATATCTAATATAAGATATATTTATAAAGATATCACCCCGCTGGGTTTGGCTTGTCCAATGCAATGCTTCAGAGCCTGTATTTATAGCCAATGAGCGTCGTGCAGTAGATTCATCTCATCACTACGTAAAAGTGCAAAAATATTAATTAGTATTCTCTTACATATATCCATTCTGCATGATCCCATCATCAAAGTTATTGTCGTGGAATATATTCTCGGGTGGGATCTAAATTTCATGGCCCAACGTAGGCCGCCCATATTCAAGGATGGGTCTAGATATGTTGTTGATAATGCAGATAGATAGCTTTTTTCTTTTTTCTTTTTTCTCTGCCTTCTAAAAATGTTCCGTCAGTTCTTTCATCCATTATCTCCAAAATAGAAAAGCAAGGCTCACATGTCACTCTGCCATTGCTCAGACTACCATCTCTGCCTCTTGGCTATTTCGAAAGGGTCATGGGAAATTGATTTCATGTCATTTTGTGCCCTCCATATTTTATGCTTGCATTTGCATACACCATTTTTTTTTTCTTTCCTTTTTCATGATTTAGGGTTTTGACCTTACTTTCAAGGGTTGGAGATCCACTTGGGAGGAACAAAATCTCAAAGGAAATATATTTAGCTGTCTTCGTTTGTCAAGTTGATCAAAGTTCAAACATAAAATGAATTTCTTCCACGCATTTTCTTCCTCACTGTGTATTATTCCAATTCCGACAATTAGTGTCAACCAAAGCCACATGTCGACCCATGACAAATCAACTAGTCTATATCTTTTTTTTGATGAAAACTAGTCTATATCTTTGAGCCAAAGCAAAACCATGAAAAGCACATATCAAATCGATCAGCTTTTTGGGGTTGCATCCGAGGGACATGTGTCGTGTTGTGATTGGTAGTATGATATGAGAAAGCTCTTTTGACTTGTGTATGTGTCACACTCATGTGATATGAATCATTGAAGTTCTTGGGGATTTCAACGCTTAAAGGCTGAACACTAGCTAAAAATATATATACCAAGCTTCCTCTATAAAGAAAGAACCCAAAACACCATTAATTTATGTACTCCTCTGAATTTATGTTCGTCTCTTTTCATCTTTGTCCTCCTGTACATGGAATAAGAAGAAAAATACAGTGCATGGAGAGCCTGGACTCGACGTGTGTCAAGCATTGAAGCATATATCTTATCTTGTTGGCATTTACAGGCCAACTTGATATAAATTGCATTTTAGTTTTCTTTTTCCCTTTTCTTTAATTTCTCTCTCCTGGACCTCCCTTTTTGAGCCACCATACATTTGGAATTAATCCAAATGGGGGGAGTTCCATATATTCAATTGTTATATCTAGTTGTGGACTCTCAATTCCAAGTCTCAAAACGATTGAAAGCAAAATTAAAGGTCTGTCTTAGTTAAATGTTACACAGCGTCACATAATTTTGACATCATTTCTGTTAAAGGCAGCTGCAAATCCTCTGAGTCAGAGGAAGAACACAAGTATTTCAATTTCTCTCATATTAATATGGAAAATGAAATCGATTAAGATACTATCCTCAATTTGGCCAAGATGACCCCCAAATAGGAGAAACACTTGCGTGAAAACGGAAATAACACTATTTTATTATTTCCGGCCAATCACGGCATGCCACTTGTGATAACTTTTTCATGTGTTAGTCTATGAATGACTGGTGAAAGCAAAGCAGTGCAAATTCTCGTTTCTCACAAGTTTTTTCTATCCAAACAAAACAAGCAAGACTTTAACTTAAAGAGAAACATAACGAAACTTCACATAATGACCCCCAAATAGGAGAAACACTTGCGTGAAAACGGAAATAACACTATTTTATTATTTCCGGCCAATCACGGCATGCCACTTGTGATAACTTTTTCATGTGTTAGTCTATGAATGACTGGTGAAAGCAAAGCAGTGCAAATTCTCGTTTCTCACAAGTTTTTTCTATCCAAACAAAACAAGCAAGACTTTAACTTAAGGAGAAACATAACGAAACTTCACATCTCTTTAATTTATTCTTTGTAAGATATTATAAGAAAAATAAAATAAATGTGAAGAAAGCTTTTCCGCGCTTTGAGTCTTAACAGCTACTAATTAATCACTAAGAATCAGTTTCCCTTGACCGGGTTTATCATCCCAAAAATACTTCCTTAACCAATTGCCCCATCGGCAGTTATACAAGTAGATCCCATCCTCCTGCGCTTTCCATATGCAGTGGACTCCACCGCAGAGGGTCAAAAGCCTTTGATCGATTTTAAACCCATAAAAAGCAACATGGTGGTCCAAGTACCACAAATTGCAGTAAAAATATGTGGTGAATTGGAAGTTCACCCGAAATCCAAATTCAAACTCATCCCCACGGGCAGGAAGACTACGATCAATAACATCGTCTTCGGATCGGCAATCGAAGCCCAGCTTTTTATTGTCCAAGTTGTTAACAATGCGTACAAAGAACTTCTTAAAGGGTGTGACAGGCTCGTTGCCTTGGGCAACTTGTCATTTCCTTTTGAGTATATATGCAATGCGAACGTGGGTTATGCTAGTTGGTCAGGTCACATAATCACATTGTGGTTGGTGTGAATTAAATATACATAATGATTTAGAAAGCTTTGTTTTTTTATTATATACAAATGATATTCTACTTTAATCTAATCTAAATTAAGGGAAGGGGGATTCGAACTCAGGTGCATAATGGGAAGCACATCTACTCTAACCAATTTGGCTAAGCCCATATATGCAAAACTTTTCTTCTTAATTAGATGAACAATAGAATATTGTCCTTATCCAAGGTTTCATAAGCAATATTACATAGAGTACCGGCCGCCTTAACCCCCCCAACCCAAGCAAGCAAAGCAAAAGAGAAACACAAAAGAGAACCTAATGAGACTTTAAATCACTTTTAGTAATTCCTTGTAATGTTGTATAAGATCTTACAAGACCATACACAAAATAAAGGTGTACATAATGAGACTTTACATCTCTTTTATTCCATGTAATATCGTCTAAGATATAACAAACAAACAAAATAAACAACGTGAAGAAATTATAGCTTATGCCTTTGATGAATCTTAATTAACAGCTCCTAATTAGGACTCATGGCGGTGTTAATTGTTCCAAACGTACTTCCTTAACCAATTGCCCCATTGGGTATTAAACAAGTAAATCCCATCTTCCTGCGCTCTCCATATGCAATGGACTCCACCACCCCAGTCTCAAAAGTTGTTTATCAAGTTTCCATGCATAAAAAACTACATGGTTTTTCTGGTACTTTAAATTGCAGAAGTAAAGGGTGGTGCCTATGAAATTCAGACGAAATCCGAATTCAAACTGATCCCCGCGATGAGGAAGACTATGCGAAATCACATCATCTGTGGATTTACATACGAAGGCCAGCTCTTTGTTGTCAAGGTGGTTGACAATGCGGATGAAATGTTTTTTACCAGGTGTGGCTCACGAGTCACCTTGGGGCAACAGATGCTAGCCCTAGGAAGAACACAAGACAGCAGAACTGAAATACTGCTCCTCTCTTCTTATCTCTCCATTTTTCTTTCAGATAATTCTGATGAAGGTAGAGATTTTAATTTTTTGATCGAGATATATGTATGCATTCCATATGCTTTTATATTGAAAAAAATGCTATATAGATATAGTATATCCATAGTAACCATTTCTGCTGAGACTACTGAGTGGTTAGATGGTGAATGGTATTAAATTAAAATTTAGGATGATTAAATGTATATGCCTAAGCTTGGTTCACATGCTTGTGTGCATTGTACATACATGATATTTGCTCGCATAAATTTTTTTTTGTCGAATAATTTCGGATATTTGCTTGCATGACATACTATATATGTATAAGTGAATGTTGGAATGCTGGCTGTCCTTTCCCATGGAATAAGAAGAAAAATACAGTGCACGGAGCCTGGACGTGTATCTTATCTTGTTGGCATTAGCAAGTTTGTTTGTTTTTTTCTTTCCTTATCTTTAATTTCTCTCTCTCATGGACCTCACTTTTAAGCCAAAAACTTGGTTGGAGAAATCTATCAGCCACACCATACATTCGGAATTAATCCAATTTCTTTCATGTACTCTGATTTTTTTATATGTTTTTTCAGTCTTAGATCAATATCGGAATTTTATCCGTATCCAAGGAATTGATAAGCATTGTTTTGTCTTCTTAACAGAAATTGAAAAGGGAACTACATAACTTGGCCAAGAAAGAAAGAGACATTAACTTAAGAAGAAACATAACAAGCTATTACAAGACAAATAAAACAAACAATGTGAAGAAAGCTTTTGCGCTTTGAGTCTTAACAGCTTTAAATTAATTAATTATTACGAATCATTTTCCCATTTTCTCCCAAGAATACTTCCTTAACCAATTAGCTCGCTGGATGTTATACAAGTAGATCCCATCCTCTTGCGCTTTCCATATGCAATGAACTCCACCACAGAGGTCCAAAAGTTGTTCATCAACTTGAAATGCATGAAAGCCAACATGATAATTCAAGTACCATAAATCGCAGAAGTAATATGTGCTTAATTGGATGTCGAGACGAAATCCAAATTCAAACTCATCCCCACGAGCAGCAAGGCTACGCGCAATAACATCTTCTTGTGATTTGCATTCGAAGTCCAGCTTTTTAGCGTCCAGATTGTTAACAATGCGTACAAAGAACTTCTTCAAAGGTATGACAGACGTGTCCCGTTGGGCAGCAGATGCTAACCTAAGGAAGAAGAGAAAACAATAGAACTGGAAAATTGATTTTCTCTGCATTTTTTTTTTTTTTTTTTT